CTACAGTCTTTTGACCCACGACTCACTCACTAGTGGTACTACTAACTGGGCGATTCACTGTAACCGTGAATATGATAGTGATGAGATAGTATAAGACAGAGAAGGAGTTGAAGAATGATGGCATAATGGAATTGAGCGCCGATATGTAACTGAGCTTTTAATTTTTGAGGACTGGGCCTGAGGGCACTTTACCTCAATGGGGCGCTTACTTGGTCTCTGAAATCTCCTGGACTTTGGGGAGAGATTTTGCAGAATTCTGATGGTCAGAAAACACCCCATTAATTCATTTAGTCTGAGACCGACTGCGGTGAGCACTTTTTTTTGAGACCGACTATTTTTTTGCCATGGGGTGAAAAACATTTTTTTCAAACATGATAAGTCGACAAGGTTATTTTATACTAAAGTTTTGCGTGAGTAGAGTGACGTGTGCAGTGAGCACTTATTTTGATACCGACTGCTCATATCTTACGACCGACTGCATTGATTTTGCGACCGACTAGTATTTGAGATCTATTCTGGCATTATTTGTTAACCTCATTAATTCATTAAGACGGCGATGCATAATTTTGAGACCGACTGCAGTGACTGCACTTATTTTGAGACCGACTATTTTTCTCCCTGGGGGAAATTTTGTTCTTAAGACTTACATACTCACAACAGAATACGAGTGAAACACATCACTTTTTTCAAACATGATAAGTTGACAAGGTTATTTTATACTAAAGTTTTGCGTGAGTAGCGTGACGTGTGCAGTGAGCACTTATTTTGATACCGACTGCTCTTATTTTGCGACCGACTGCACTGATTTTGCGACCGACTATTTTTTTCCTGGGGGGGGGGGGGTTCCACCCCCCCCAAACCCCCACATTTACGCCCCTGGGTGTTAAACTCTTCTGTATTTTTGCCTTAGAAATAAATCATACACGAACTTGGGCGTTTGCAATTTTTAAAGATATGTTGTAATTGGAATGATAAATGTCATTATATAGTGATAATGAGTTGCTAATCATATACATGTATGTGATTGATTCGTGAGTAAATTTTGAATGCAAGATAAGTGAATAATATTTAAGATACGCGGTAACCCATGACACAAGAACTATGAACTTATCTCATATATTTTAATCATTAACATAATTAACTAGATAACAGTAATAATAATGATACAGTCTATAATCCTTTGTTTACACTTAAGTTTCCTCGCCTCTCCGCCATAACACCGTTTGATTGAGGTGCATTGCAGGATTAAACCATTACGCAAGGAAAACGCTAAAGGAATGCCTAGAACTTTTAAACTTTGAAGTCTTGAACTCTTAGTTAATTTTTAATGACATGGAACTTATCGGACGAACACTTTTAATATGTAAATAATCTACGGGCCTAGCTATGTGGTTTTTACTGCGAGCACTTCGCTTTTCCACATAAAGCCAGCTGATTCTTTTTTCCCCACGGGTTTTTTTTCTATCCGCTCTGATGATGCCAAACATCAGTCAGTTGGACCGCCTATTTTAACTTTATTATGAGAAAGGGAGAAGATGATCCGCCCTCTATTCTCACGACAGCGAGTTTAGAAGTGTGCTTCAAGGAACGTTTGGTATCCGAGGACCTTTTTATTTTGTGTTTTTAACAATTTTCAAGTGTAAATAATTTAATTAAATCAACCTGTCCATAATATCATATTCATTGTATTGGACGTTAAATCTGTAATAAACAACAACAACATAATGACCTTCCAGTTTATAACTAACTAACAATGCGGTTTGTTTAATGGCAGGCCCAGGGAACCACCTACGCCAATAAGTATAATTATTATACATTTAAACTGATCATGTACAGCTACTAGAATATGGCTTGTCTAGAAAAAGAAAGACGTGATTCTTAATACTCTGCTGTAAAAGCTTGTAATTCATATGATTAAGTCACATTTATATTTTGTGATATGTGATAGTGTTATTGATCACCTAGAGACACTATTATTTCCACATTTTATGTATACTTTCATATTTATAATGTTCATTTCCTATAATTTACTTTAAATTCTTTACAGAAACTTCTTGTCTTTAGACAGATGTGATAAAACCTATTACATTCAGCGAATAAATCTTTAAGAATAAAGTGTTGGTAGATCTTCATTTATTTCCGAAAATGTCTTTATGTGAATCGATGGTATTTATAGGACTCGTTTTAAAATCGAATTTAAATATTATTTAAGTCAGGTGTCCTGCGTGAAGTAGGTTATTCTTACGTCTGTCCTATCTTTACATCATTGTCAACGAGTTAGCAAGTTTCTATGAAAAATATTATCCCTATATTTATCACATTATTTCTTCGATCATGTATCTAAATTCACGCTATAATAATATGATTTTAAAGCCTCGAACATGCTGTAATAACAATTGACAAAAATCATTTAAAATTTTAGATATGATGAGTCTTGATTAGAGCAGAATGACAGACTAAAAAAGAAGACACGTCACCTTTAAACTACAAGGAGGGGGGGGGGGCTAGATCATAATGTCTATCATTGAGTCAAATGGCGTGGTTTCGATTCCCCGCTTGTACGTGATAATAAGTAGGGTCGCCTGTCCAACCTCGTGGGTTTTCTCCGGGTCTTCCGGTTTCCTCCCACTGCTAAAGACCTCTACGCACAAGAGAATTATTAAATTATATAATTGAACCATTATGTTAATCTCGAAATTATCGAGTTTGTGAAGAGTGGACGTTAAACCTCATTTCTCTATCTCTCCCCTTAAACCTCAGACTACGGTTAGGAATTGTATAGATTTGACCTCGAAGCAAAAGGGGTATAGACCAGAGATTTATATGCTTTTCATGAATACATAGTATTTTTCAAAAATTCCAATATTGTCTGTCACGACCCCACGAAAAGTGCTTGGCAACCCCAGCTGGGATCGCGACCCAGAGTTTCGGAACCCAGGCTCTAAACCATTGTCGAAAAAAAGACATCTTTGTGTTACGGAAAATGTTTAATCTATCAATAAAGGAGTGTTATAATATGCATGTTGTTTTGGGTTTTTTTGGTATTTACGTCCAGGAATTGATCAATATCATATTAGGTGTTACTAATTGAATTTTTATGGCTACTGACATATGTAATATTGATATTTGTACAGATTAATAGCATGCGTACCAAAGCAATAAAACAATTATACTGTATATACATGGCAATTCTCCCTTTAACATCATCGCTGCAAATACATCAATATGAAATAAGTAAATATTTACATCCGATAATTATCGGTCGTTCCACAGGTTCTTTTATGATGATTAAAGAATATAACTTTTACTTGTCAACAAGATCATAACTTAAGATGACCAAACCACCAGTAATCAAGATTTCCATTTCTAATTCAGGGGTCCTAAAGACAAGTAATTTGTAATCGTCGATACTGGTTATTAACTGATTAAATGAGATCCGATTCTCACGCCGATTAAGCAATAACATATGTTTATTGCCCACCCTCCACCCCCACCACACAAAACACATACCACACCTACACACCCACACACACACACACCCACACACACACACACACACACACACACCTCATAAACTTTATAAATATACACTTAAAAAGTAGGGGATATTCTGAAACAATTGCCTACACATGAACATAAACAGTTCATATGGGCGGCTTATCTGACGGCCCCATTTCATCCGCAAAGAGATACACTGCCAAAAGTGAAAATGGACGTTTTTGATTTTTGTCTTAATAATGAGTAATTGCTCCACCAATCCTCAGACATACAGCAATTCGTCGTGGCATACTCCTAATCAACTGTCCTATCACGATTTGGGGCAATCTGACCCACTCCTCTTGCAGTGCCACGGCCAATTCTTGCAGTGTTGTTGGTTGACGTTGACGTCGACGAACACGTCCCCCCGATCAAATTAAACGTAACACACTAAAGCAAAGGCCGATAGGAAAGTAAACATGGATATGATAAACCAGCAAGCGGCAGTTTTCATCAAACCTTCCTTGAAGTGTCAAATTTGACAATGAACCCCTCCCACGTGTATGGCGCTATTGCGTGTCGCACATGCAGCTCAGTGGTTCTGTTGGGGCGAAAAGTTCTTCATCTGTGAACATACTCTCAAAGCATGTCAAGTGTCCTTGACTATTTAACATATCACAACCTGCATAGGTATTTGCATTTCAATATCCCCTATTTTTTTTGAAGAGTATAGGATATTAATATCTACAAAACCCAAAACATCGATTGGTTTCAGACTGGCTCTTTTTCAAATTCCTACTGATACCAGATCTAACTTTACACAACCTGGGTCACATTTTTGCGCTCCATTAGTAAAACTAGACACCTTTTTTCAATGTAGAAATGAACAAACTTCTATTGGATTTACATAATATAAAATCTAATTAAAGGAACATTTCTTTAATCGACTGACTTATGGGTTGGTCTCGGCATTTAAGAAACAGTCCCCTGTATCCGTAATATTTCAAATCATAAAATACAGAAATATTATTGAATAGAATATCAATTCAAAAACCAAATTAAAGTACATGTATGTCCACGATTTATGTTAATTGAGATATGGAACCATTATGTCTCGGATTTTCATAATAGAAATGGAGAGAAAAAAATACTGGGCTTTTTGACATTTCAGAAAAGAAATTAGCATTAGATTCCCCAGAGTTTTTTGCATGCTAAAACTTTTAACCACGCCATAAAGTTTAAAACAAAAATACGTTGGATATAACCACGTATCGGGAGGTAGAGCAAGCGCAAACCAATGGCGTTTAATATTGCGCTATTTTGCTCAAAACAAGTTAATCATAAACTTCTATTGTTTCTACAAAATATTGACTTTTCTACACATGTTCCCCTTTGAAGAATTGAACTGAACATAGTTTATACTAAAATACATAAATCGCATAAACGAATGTCGCACACAGAAACATACAAAATAACGCTTTTTATGTTGAGATATTCTTTAAAGAGGATAAACATAAATTTACCTGTTAAAGCTAAGATGACAACTAGAAGTTTATACCGGCTAATGGAAAGTTCCGCTTCCTCTTTAAGTCTAGTTTAAAACAGGTGCACATCAGAACATATTAAGCAAAATTCTTGCACAGATCGAAGCGTCTAGAACATTCTTGTTGAAGCTTTAAGATAGAAACGTCTAATCCATGCTTCTATAAGCTGGGTGGTGTTAAAGGTGTACAAATACTGAACAAGACTTTCAAATATAGCAAATTTATCAATGATTTGTACGCGTGGTTGTACGAATTCTAAGCCTAGCCCACTACCAATGAAATCTCAGATAAGTTGAAGTCGTTTGTTTCTACGCGACGTTTGATAATTTGATAAACACCCGCTGATTGGCAGACTCAACCAATGAATTTGTTTCTTGGTAACTGACGTCACGTCAAGGAGTTTCTGTTTATTGAGGGGGTAAAGATGTCTTTACAATTTGATATGTTCATCTCACATAATGAAAGTAGCGTGGATACTTGCAATTACTATTCATATGATGCCGCTTAATTGTATTTACAGGCTATCGAGTCTCACTATGATTCGAGTGCTTCATAAAGAACCTTTCAGAACACGAGCGATATAGTGAACTCTGAACGGCTTAATAAAAGTACAAAATACAAATTTATCATTAGTTTAAAGAGAAATTACCGCCAAAATGTAAAATAAATTGAACTCAAACCAAGAGCGATAGGCATTTTAAAAGTACAAAACCATTTATTTAAATACAAATTATGATATAATATGTTGCAGGGCTTCAATGAATGTACCAATTGTAGCGGCTGTAATCGTACGTTGTAAACCTAAGAGCAGGTAAAATACGACGCTAAATCTACATTAATAAGATTGTTATCCTCTAAGCTAAATCAAAAATATTGATTGTTTCATTATTTTCCGATATTAACCCTTTAAAACTGGTTCACGTAAAAAAAAAAAACGTCCATCATGTAAGTCGATTTAAATTCATAGACATTCTAAGACAATTATATTGCAATATTCTAAGAATACATATTAGAAGAAATGGCCAGAAGTGACAGCGAGTTTGTTAGAACTTGTAGTAGTTTCGGTGACAGGAGATATCCGCGACTCTAAGCTGGTGTAAAGGATTGGCAGGGAGGGTGATTTGGGGGTTTGACCCCTCACCCTGCATATAAGTAAATAATGTCTTATTGTATTAAACGTCAACGCTGATTAATCCATGTCTGACACGCCCTTCGAGTACAACTTGTCAGATCTTCATGTAGTGTAGGCCATCGAAATTATAAAAAAAACTAAACGAAATATAGATCTGTATTATAATCAGATTGAGATATGTAAGTTGTATGAAATACAAGGGAACGTTGTGTTCAATATTATATCTTGGCAATTTGGAAACCAATCTAAAAAAAAATACCCGTGTCAAGGACGTTTGGCTTTGTTTTTAGAATTCATTAAAATTCAATGACGTTTGGCTTTGGTTTTAGAATATTGTATATCTCCGACCCACTTGAAATAATTTTTTTGTTCATGTGACCCCTGAATCAAAATGAGTTTGACATCCCTGATATAGATAATTAATCAGTATACATACGTCTTTGTAGTCGTCACTAGCAGAGCTGGTATATAAAAATTCATAGGTTTTATCAAAACCCAGTATTTCCTGGTTATCTGAAAAGACACATTTGCAGCAATACCAGCTTATTTTTTCAATTAATTAGAAAGAAATTACTCCCAAAAGAGTTTATATGTCATGTTTTATTGGGTATACATGGAATATATTTACAATGATAAAATCTTTAAAAACAAGATTCACTTGATTTGATATTTGTTTATTTGGTGCAATGTCCGCAGGTTTATCTTGTAGATTTTTGTTTTACGCCTAGTGCGGTCCTCCTGCACTTACTATTACAGTATTATTTAGGTTTTGCCATATATCTATTTTAGTGAGAAAATTACATATAGATGCTTTGTTTCAATTCAAATATTTGTTAGGAATTTATCCCCAAATCTAACCTGAACTAAAAGTTTACAGATATATTAGTAGAAATACTGTTTTGGGAGAACTTATATGCCCCCCCCCCCCCACCCCACCGATTTGTTGAACCGTCCATTTTTCGGGCAATGTATTTCAGTTTTTCGGGCACTAACATCAGAGAATGGATAATGCGACCATATCTCATGGAAGTATAATTGTGTAATTAATTAAAATTAAACAACCATCTCAGCTTTGTGGAAAATTCATTTTAGTTAATGATTGATTCATTCAGAAAACTTTGGGTGACAAATTTTTCGGGCAAATAGGCTCAGCCCCCCTCCCCTCCCAACCCCCAACTCCCAGCTGAGATTGGCCCCCTACACCTATGTAGCCCCTTACCTGTTGTTCAATCCGATTGTTGAATCAAATATTGTTTAAACTATTGTTGTCCCTCCTATCCGAACGACTGGGCATTGTCCTTCAAGCCCAATCCCATCCCGCACCACTGACGGGGGAACCCGCACCATGTTTGTCTTGTACATGTACATATCTCATCTGTGTAAGTGTAGTAAATGTGAAAATGAAACCGAATTTGATGTTTATACATGTAGTGACAGTGCTGATAACAACTAACTTCGATGACATTTAAAGTGCAGAGTAACTGCGTAATTTTGATTTTCAATAATTGTTTTATTTCAATAAATAATTAGTTTTTGTCTTATATCTATATCTGTTAGACAATTACGCAATTATAGATATGGTTTCAGTTTAAATGTTTGTAATTCGGCTTTAAATATCTGAACTAGAGGTTGGCATCTACCTGTAGTAAAAATAACGTAGGGTCTAACTGAAAGGGTGTGAGCTTATGTTTTAGTGGAAAAAATCACGTGGTTTCAATGCGATTTACAAAACTACGGACAGAGACTGGTCTCCATTACTTCATAGACATATTGCTCAACCAATGTCAAACATATCTCCTTGTTCATCAGACTAAGCGCCCATAATTTCTGGGTAAACACCCGCTCACCAACCCTTGCAGTCCCCTGGGACCCCATTAACGATATAAATATTGGGCTTTTGTGCTCACACATGGTCTTGTGCGTCATACATCATCAGCAGTCAACACGCACCTAAAATACTGTTACCGATTGCAGACATTTGGCAGAAAGGGAGATAACTCTCTATTACGGTTAATCGATTTCCAAAATTCTGTATGTTCCCATGTGCATTATGTTTTTTTTTTCATTTTGGTTTAAATCAAAATTTAACCAATATCACATTCTTTGCCGACGATGAAAGAATTTGGTGTTTTCGCCAATATTTAATTTTATGTCGAACTTCACAACTGTTAGTATAGATATAGCATTTACTTGAATATTATCACATTTTTCAGCTGGCCCTAAATCGAGTTAGTGCAAACTTTTTGCTTGGAACTCTCTGGATTTGTTCCTGGTGTTATAAGCTTTCCAAAAATGTATAGTTTGTTTATTAGGGAGGACCATGTAGCGGAATTGTGTTTCTAAGCAAGCTGAAAATTTTGGCTGCATAAATAGCAGAGTAATGTAAGTTTTGTTCATACTCCTTGTAGTATAACGATTGATGAATCTACATTTTTTTTTTTTTAGAAAAAGAAAAGGGATCCAAGAATTGCGAAAGAATATGATTATTCGTGGCTTTAACCACATACAAGTTATTGACACACAGGTTTTCTCCGGATATAAAACTTTTTTTCTAAATATTGTAAATAGAATTTTTTCGGTGCCATGTCAAAATCATTGAACTTTGACCTGGGCGAATTTATGTGCCGATCTCTGGTGTTTGAATTCATGGGCCTTGCATACTTTGTATTTAAGGGAAATAACAAGCTTTCAATAGGTCCGGTCTACTATAGGTATGCTAGCTTAGGTCATTTTGACTTAATGGCTATTTGTGTCATAATGTGTGGAATGCTGTCTCTGATCATCGGATTGGTTCAAATGTGAGTAGCACCGATAAATCAGTTTAATTTGTGGTGTCTGTGGGTAGAAAATATGTCTAGATATTTGACTTATTTTATGTACAAATCGCATGATAATTAAACCATTTATATACCAGTAAATAACCAATACGACAAAGGAGTGGGGGAAAAGCTAATGGAAAAAAATCAAACCGTACATCAATTTTAAAATACATACCATAATTATGTATTCCACAAATCCATTAATCTGTATAAAATGATTCTTAGTTTCTTTTGCAGACTAAATAATTGTTCATGCTAAAACACAACAGTCTGAATGAGGACTAAGGTGTACTCTGTTGACCGTAATTTAGAAACACATTTAAGTTAGAGAATCTCTTGACCAAAGATTTTTTTCCGTACAGATGCATAAAGAATTGAAGTTTCAAACATCGTGAGATTCAATAAGTTTGTAAATGACCTTAATTTCTTTTTTAAATTCATGCAAAGCCTGGACGTGTTATAATAAATGCCTGAAGAGCAACTTCGGTTGTGAAAACGTTAGCACAAATTATGTAGTTTCATTTTACATGGTTATACTGTTGAAAACTGTAGAAGTAGGTATAGTAAAGATAAAGTTAGAGTTGATACCCAGGGTAGAAAATTACTTTACATTTGCAAACAGGCTTCTATACGTATTTTAAATGGAAGAACTTGTGGGGATTCCTCAGAAGAATTTACTTCTTACCATTATAATGGCAGAACAGTTGTGAATTATACTGTTGTGTCAGAAACTTTATTACATTTAATTTTCACTTTTAGAGTTTGTAATCATTGCCAAACTTAGTTTATACTTGATATAAAAATATCCACAGCTAAATTAAAAGGTGATCTCAATAGGAAGGCTTTCAATCCAATTAAGTTCATCTGGGACAATAATGTTAAGAATCAGATCCAACGAAATTTTGAAAAGTTTAGTGTTTGTAACGTTTCAGAAAGTATAAGTCTTGAAAAGAAGATTAATGAATTGGAAACGGGCATTAAGGCAAATTAAAGCCAGTCTTTGAAACCTAGGCTTATTAAAAAGAGGAAAAGAATGACGAAACCATGGTTTCAATCCTCCTGTTCACAAACGAAAAGAAGTCTTAATCAAAAAAATCATAACGATCCAGTTATACGTCAAACTTACTACAGACTGAAGCGGACCTACACAAAAATGCTTAAGGAAGAGAGGCTTACTTATAAACAAAAATTGATCAGTAAAATCGAAGAAATAAATGTATCGAACTACCTTTAAATCTCACTTTGAAACACCTGGTACACACACTACTATTGATAATACTTTTGA